CAGTCAGCTTCAAGGGGAGGCCCAAAGCTGCAGCCTGCTGGGAAGCAGGAGATGCAGATTTAACCTCTCCCTGGATGAGGGAGACCTAGAACCAGGGTCTTCTGATTTCTGGGTGTTTGCCCTAACTATGCCATTTGCCAAGAACAGGGGAGGATCCTCTGCCTTCATTCTGTTTATGGCAGGCACACAGGCAGATGTGCAGGGAAATTTTATTCTGTTAGAGGGTGAAAGAATCACAAATTATGTATAAATGCCAGAACTACTCAAAATGGCACACATCTGGGTAAAAGGAAATTGGATCTGACATTTAGTCCCTATGGATAATGCTTTAAAGCAGGACTGTCCAATGTGGCCTGTGGGCTGCATGCAACTTGTGAGGTATTAAATTGTGGCACCTGGGCTCCCTCATGGCTGCCATTCTCCCCATTGCTCTGGTTACAGAAGCAGGGTCTCCAGGCTCCCTCTCCCTTCAGCTTCTCCTTCCTTACCTCAGGGGGCATGGTGGTGCAGCATGGCTCAGCCTACAATGCTGAGGGAGCTCAGGGCTCCCAAGGGATGTGATGCAACAGGGGGCCCACAGCTGAGGAACTTAGGGTGAGGTGGGGCATCTCAGTACATGGTGCAGTGGAGGAGGGGCCCTGTGCAGCAGCTAGGGGTTACTCAGGCACACGATGCAGTGGCAGGAAGAACAACAGTGTGTACAGTACAGTGGGGAAGATACACAGTGTAGGAAGGGGTCCACAGGGGCCCACAGGAGAGAGAGGGGATTCACACTGCAGTGGGGTTGAGCACTGGGACCCACGGAGCAGTGGGGGATACATGGTGCATGGTCCTGGGGGTCTATGGCCTCTACTGGTACACCCTTGGCTAGTGCAGGACAACCCTGCTTTAACATTTTTCTCGAAGGGCACAGAATCTTCTATTGAAAAGCATGGAATGCAATTTTTCCAATTATGATTGCTTTGTTTTTGTTGGCCTGCACTACATCACTGTAGTTCTTTATCGCAGTTTCTCTGCGTGTCAGAAAAAAAGTTTATTTACTTAAAAATGATATTTTCAGTTATCTTATCCGCTGCAAGCCCATTCCCAGTGAAAGCAATAGCGTCTTTAGAAAGAACAATCAGTTTTATCAGGAAACAGTTTCCTCTGCATAGCTGTTCTGCAACATCTGCAATCAAAAGCACATTACTGTTAGCTAGTTTAGACTTGCTAGCTTGTCATTCACTTCCCATTCTCTTTGATGAACAATTGTGACTAATCTTTTAAAAATCCACATGACTTTATGAGTATAATGTTCTGAAAAAGGAGGAAATACCTTCAGTGTCTTGTATATTTGTCCCCCCAGGATCAGTTGGATTTGTAGCGCCTGCTGGTGGCTCATATCCTACCACCAGATCAATCGTTGCCTTTGTAGAAAGAGATACACATATTATATGTACACTGAAAAACCTGTATATGGGAATTAAAACTAGCATATAAGTAAATAACAAATTTTCTCCAAGTATCCAGTGTAATGTTGATGTTAACAAAATATATGCTCTATATTACAAATATTTATTATTGAAAATCCCTATTTAAAAAAAAATGTTTCTATATTAAGTTCAATGTTGTGGATGTAGTCATATGTTACATCTGTTTCTCTTCTTGGTGGTTTGCTTAAATTGTTAATCATTTCATCTATAAATCCAGCTGTTTTGATTTCATATTGAACTCTCTCAATAAAATATTTTACTCCATACTACAGTAAAACAAAAAGAATGAAGTCACTCACTCCAGTTCCTTGCCCCCTTTCATTCAGCAAGGGAACAAGCTTGTAGGGAAGAGATCTACTCTGGTTGCCCACAAGTTCCTTAAGCGCTACCGATGCACTGCCAATTAATCTGAAAAGAAGAAAAGATATTACATTAGAGTACCCTCTTAAGTATTAAGCAAATAACCACATCTATAGCAGTTAGGCAATCCCCAGGATGCATGCCAGAGTGTGGCATGCGAAGGAATTTTGCTTGGTATGCACACGTCTGGGCGGACAGCAGGGAAGTGGCCGGGGCTGCGCTGCCACAACAAGGATTGGGCCCCTTACAGCTACCCTGCCAGCTGCCCCAGCATGCCAACATCTTACAAGTTGAGGTTGAAGGTGTTTTTGGCACTGTGCCCAAAAACATTGCTGACCCTTCATCTATAGCTAATTTGTGCCTATTAGCCTTTGGATAACCAAACAGGTTAAAAAGGTAAGAGTGCACAAGATTATACATTTAAAAAACTGAAAGCATTCCATATATTCCCTATAGATAAATAGGCCTATCTTTATATTTTCTATTTTAATACAACCAAAAATTTGCTAGTGGCTTCACTCAAGATGCTGACCCCTCCTGAAATACTTTTAACACAGTGAACAACGCTGAAACCCTAGGAAGAGGATGGGATATGCACACATATAACTATTTAAATATATATACTTTCCGAACTATTGTCACTAAATCTCTCTGAGGCATAGAGTTACCACTCATTAACTGGAAATGCTTACTTTCTTCTATTAAGTGTTTTGAGATCCTTAGGAAATTCTGTGTAAAAGTTAAGTATTATAATTGTTTTTATATGTGGGCATATATAGTCACATATATAAATAAAATAGAATAACATAATTGATTTATTTATTATAGGCATCAAATAAAACTACCTTCTTGCAGACCACACAAAGTATGCTTTTAATTATGGCCCTCTGCCCTCCTTTAGGAATTGTGAGAGCAGGTGGCAGCAGGAATTGAGAGAGCAGCTGTGAGGGCAGATTTAAACAGTGGCTCAAGAGCCCTGCCAATAGAACTGTGGCTCTCAACTTCGATAGACTCAAGACAACCTTCCAAAAACACCACCTCTTACATTTTTCACTCACTTTTTTACTATAGAAAAAATAGGAGAGCAATTCTGGTGCAATGATCTCAGGAAAACCACAACAGATCAGAATGTAAAAACACCATGGATTCCTCTCTGAAATTTTTGGGTTTACCTTGTAGATCATGTTTCCACACATAACACTGCTAACACTGCATGTACCCTATGGGGTACACCCTGATTGAGAATCTTTGCTGTAGAAGCTGACCAGGAAAACATTTCTACCACTGGGAGCCCACAGCCTGGGTGTTCTTGCAGAAGTTGTCATATCCAACAGATTAATTGAGTCTTGTTAATAGACTTAATTTATATGATCCTAAGAATATAAGAATATGTTTTAAGATGGATAATTTGATATACAATTTTTTCAGTGCAACTGTAAATGTCTGCAAATGCAAAAATTTGTTAAAAATGTAAAAATCTGTAATTGTCAAACACCATCGCATTTCCTATCTGAAATTATACTAAAGGCAGGGTGGCACCTTATAGAATAATTTGTCAAATATTACATAGCATTTGATGAAGTAGGCTGCAGCCTATGAACATTCATGTCTTTGTGAACTAATTAGCCTATAAGGTGCCGGCCACCCTGCCTTGCCTTCTGCTTAGTGTCAGACTAACATGGTTAACTAACTCTCTGAGATAATACTGTCTGTACATGTATTGGCAGTTTTTTCAAATGTTGAAGTAGATTACTAGAATCCCTGACATTTTTGTGGGTGAGATAACCTTGAGTAATTGTTGTGCAAACTTTAAAGAGAACATACTTTTCAAAGACTTGCCGGTATTATAGCCAAACTTCAAGAAATAAAATCTTTACTCAAGAACTTAGTTGAGGTCATTTTGGAAGCCTTTGGCATTTCTCCAAAGAAAATATAAAGATCCTATGACATTTCTCAAAAAAGGCAAGGGTAAATATGATTATTTAGCTCCTCTTCTCTGTCTCAGTAAAATGTTCTCAGGTCATCAGTATTTAATTCATTGTTTGCAAGATGATTTAGGATACATTAAGTATTAAACATTCAATGTAAATATACATTGTAGGCTGTCCCATTCTATTCTTTATGTTTTTCTATACACAAAGGATAAGTATACGCCTTAAGCTAGAATGACATGGGATTCATTCTTGTTTGTCATCTTCCTTTCTAGCTAAACAACTCTAGCTTTCCAGCATAAGTGAATCCCATACTCACAATCCCAGCTGCTTTTTACCAGCTTTGACTCACTCCTCAAACTTGCCTTCCTCCCTCCTCCACTTCTCTCTTTTTGCAGGACCATGTGATTTCTTTCATGAGATAAACTAAGGCTTTCCCTCCACGCAGCTTACCTACCCTTCCTATTCCTCCTTATACAACTCTCTTCTTTCTCTTATCTCACAGATGCAGAAATGTATTGTCTACTTTTCTTCCAGTCCTTCCACTTGTACCAGTATCACCAACTAATTCCAGCTTATAAACTCCTTCATGACATATTCATCCCTTACTCTTCTCCTAAACTTCCCATGCTCTTCTAGCTCCTTCCCTTCAGAATACAAGCTTGGTTTATTAGTCTTAAGTCTCATTTTAAGAAAACACCTTTGAGTTCTCTTGCCTCTTCAGCCAGCAGCCTATTTCCCTTTTCACCTTTGAACTCACTTAGAGGATCGATCATTGAGATGGTTGAGCTATTCACACTCATTTTGTACCATTCACCCATTCTAATTCCATCCGAGATCCTCTCTAATCTTACTTCTGCTTCCTGCACTCAGCTGAAATCACTCTTGCCAAGGTGTATAATGATGACAACTTTGTCAGATCTCAGCACCAGGACTCCTTCTTTATCCTCCTTGAACTGTCAGACACTAAAACAATCAGCTGTGCCGTTTTCTTAAAAATCTTGTCCACCCTAGGATTCTATATCTCTGTCAGCTCTCATTTCTTCTATTGCCTCTCCTTCAGTATGCCTTTGGAACACAGGTCATTGAGTCCAGTCTCCTGCTATTTCAGACAACAAGGCCATATAATCCCTCTCCTCATTATCTCCTTAACAATTGTCTTTGTGGGTTCTATAGGGTCCTGCCCTTGGTCCCTTTCTCATCCACAAATTAAAAATTAGCTACCATCTCTGTACTGGTGACTCAAAGAACTACTTCTGTATTCCTGATCTGTCTGCTGTTGGTCAAAATAAAATCTTGGCCTATTCTTTGAAATGTGTTTGTGGATGTCATCAGCTCAAGTTCAAGATGGTTAAAACAAAGGTCTCACCTCCTCTACCACACAGTTCCTTCCTTTCTCAATCACTCTGGATAACACTGCCATATTGCCTGTCACTCAGTCCTGTAATAGTGTTATCTTCAAATCAGGCCTCTTTCTAGGTCCTAATACCTATATACATCAAAATTGTGTTGATTTCTTCTACATTGCTTTTCTCAACATGAACTTTCTGATCCACCTACACAGCTAAAACTGTCATACTTTCCTTCACTTTTGGCAGAAGGCAGGGAACATTGGCACCTAAGAGACTAACTGGCTCACATATTTGTAGGCAATGGCCTACTAAGTTGCCAACCTGCCCTGCCTTCTGCCTAACTTGAGACTAACATGGCTAACAACCTCTCTCTACTTACATTTGGGAGGAGTTCCACAAATCTACTTCATTGTTCTGCTTCAAATTCCTATTTAAAACGCTTCTTGTTTGCTATACCTATAAAAACTGACAGTGTTTAGCTTCTCTGTGTCTCTCTGTATACTCTCAACTGTCTGTATCCTTCTACTTTTTCTTGTCTTATTGTTAAATTTTAAGTTCTTTAGGGCAGAGATTTTTTTTTTTTTGGTTCTATTTTCGTATACCGCCGGGCATATAGAGGCTCTGCTCCATGACTATTGTGTTTAGGCACTATGATAATATAAATATGATTATAAAAATAAGGAAGAAGAGGATGGAAAACAGCATGAATAATATACTCCTTCCTAACCGAGTGAGAAAGATCAAAGATCAACTCCTGGCTTCCCTCAAGTAGTGCAAGAAGCTAGTCATCTATTGGGGAAATGGCTTTTTAAACTTCCCCATGTTTAGGGACCCATGGTGCAGCACATAGGCAACTGGGTACCCCCTGCTCTCCAACTGCCTATGCCCTGCACTGTAAAGCAGTGCCTCCATCTTGGGAGTGAGGACCTACCAGGCTCTCCAGCTGTCACTTCCATGGGTGTCCCGGAAACTTTAAAAACAACAACAAAATAACAGGTGTGTGCAACTGGGGATCCCAGATGCATATCTGACTTTTAAAGATCTGGGGCACAGTGAGGCATTCTTTGACGTAGGGCTCATGGCACCCCTCCTCTCTGCCACCAGGGCTTGGGTGGGGGCCCCAGTTCCAGAACTAGCATGATCCCGCTGATCAGACAGGGTGATCCAACCTTTGAAGAGGGAGCAGATATCCCTGCTGCAGAAGCCCATCTGCAGGGAGTTATCTAATGAGGGAGCAGCCTGCTAGCAGTTAAAAACCTGAGGAAAAAGAGAGAGAGAGAATGCAGAAGGGGCAGCAATTTGGAGAACGAACAGCTTATGGCCAGGGGGCAAATTATGATGCAGGTAAGCTCACTGCCAGAAGAGGAGATGAGAGTTTGTTTGCTTGGTGCAAAGATACTGTTTGTGTATAGAGAACTACTGAGGAACTCACAAGTGAGCAAAGCCAGCCTGCAAAGCAGCAGGTATGTCAACCTGCTTACACTCATGCTGGATCCCAACACACATGTGAGCATCAGGATCTGTCATGGGTCAGCTCCCACGTCACACTTACAATTTAAGGTGTGTTACAAACTATATGCAAAGACATTATATGTTATATGTGGAACATCTTAGTGGCTTATTTGCTCTATTGTTACACCATATATTGGATTTTAAAAGTGTGGCAGAGTTGGTGTTTATGTGCAATTAACACAAACACCTTATATGAAAGTGATCCTGTTGTTAAATATGAGCTTCACCCAAAACTCTCACTCCAGAGAAAATA